TGTTCAGTGTCCACCCTGCTGGGGTTTGCTCTACACAACCTACTCATCTTTATGCAATGTGCTTAGGCTCTGGTCAACCTAATGAAGACTCATCATTTGACATGGGCAGTACTATGGGCTAAATTGTGTCCCTGCAAAAATTAGGACACGATGAAGTCCTAATTCCCAGTACCCCAGTTTACATACATACTCTACAAGTCAATCAAAGTGAGCGTTTATCTGTTATCACCGATTCTGGAGGGAACGGAGGCCAAGGGAGGTAGCAAAGCTCACACACAAGAAAGACACTGCTCCAAGTTGTAACCTGATAATGTACCAACATCTGTGACGTTGCATCATGTGGGCTGCACTTCTGAAAATACCATAATCTAGTTAGACAAATTCATGTTACAGTTGGGCTGTTTGAGGCCCATCTCAGTAAGTTGTTTAAATAAAGCAGCATAATAAATACATTAATAGCCGGGTGTTGGTGGCACACGTCTTTAATCCCAGCACTTGGGAGGCAGAGGCAGGCAGATCTCTGTGAGTTCGAGGCCAGCCTGGTCTACAGAGTGAGTTCCAGGACAGCCTCCAAAACAATACAGAGAAACCCTGTCTCGGGGAAAATAAATAAATAAACAAATAAATAAATGCATTAATAGTCACCATCCAAAATCTTTCATTCTACTCCCAAAACTAAATCCCCTAAAACAAATATGTCTTTTTTGTTTTGTTTCGTTTATCAAAACAGGGTTTCTCTGTGATCTCCCCTGGAACTCAGAGATCCACATGCCTCTGCCTCCCGAGTGCCAGGATTAAAGGCGTGCACCACTATGCTCAGCCTTCAGCTTCCTTTCTTGTCACAGAAACAACTGCCTAGGAGTGGCATAGCCCGTAATAAGCTGGGCTCTTACACATCAATCATTAGTCAAGTAAATGCCCCACAGACTTGCCTACATGACAATCTGATGGAGGCACTTCCACATGAGGTTCCCTTTTCTTAGATGACTCTCACTCCACACCAGTTTAAATGAAAAGTGTCCTCCATAGTTGCAGGCATTTGCACACTTGGCCCCTAAGTGTTGATGGGGTGTTCTGGGGGTGGGATTAGGGGATACAGCCTTGCTGAAGGAAAATGTCGCTAGGGACAGGCTTTGAGATCAACACCCTCCAACACTTCCAGGTAGCTCTCATTGCTTCAAGCTTTCTATTGAAGATGTAAGCACTCAGCTTCCTGCTATTACCATTTCTCCCCTCCATGATGGGCTCATTCCTCTGTAACTGCAAGCCCAAATAAACTCCTGATGATGTGTTATCACAGCCACAGAAAATAACGAATACAAACCCTAAAAAGCAATAGTCAGGCCACCTGACCCACAGGTATGACCCTAAGTAAGGCACTTTACACCTCCAACCTTTACTTTTCTCAAGTGGAATACAGTAACAGGCACCATATATTCTAAGTTATTGTGCGCAAAGCACTGAGCTGGCCACTGCAAACACACAAGCCAGCTGAACTCTCTGTAACAACTCCAAGGTACTTGTATTAGACCTGGAGCAGTAAGAGACATTACCTTTCACCCACTTCAAGATTCAACAGGCTGGGAGACGTGTATGGAGCTGCCACTCTGTGGGTCCACCACAGCACTCACTCTAAGGTAGCCCCCCTCACAGGGGCCAGTGACTGACCACAGCAGAAACATCAGGGCTAATCTGTTCCTGCCTCCTGTTACTGGTCTTAGATGAACCTTCCTTAGCATCAAGCTGCAGTCTGGGGCTCTTTCTGCTCCATCTGCCTTCCTTTCCCTGGAGTGAAAACACCCCTGCTATGATGGTTCATATCACCAACTTAGTGGATTCAGAATTACTGAAGGGACAAGCAAGTCTAGTCGTCTGCTTCCTAACTTCGAGAGACTGTATCCTCAAACTGTGAGTCAAAATAAACCCAGCTTCCTTAAGTTGCTCTTGCCAGAAATTTGATCACAGCAACAAGAATGGTAATTAACTATGTACTCCTGCTCTCTCACTGTTATCCTTCCCTGCCACTTCCCCAGTAAGCCTTGTGTGTGTTTAATCGTCTTGACATTTATAGCAGAGGATCCAAATAACTCCACCTTCACTTTATAGAGAGAACAGTGATTAAGACACTCAGGTCTGCCGGGCGGTGGTGGCGCACGCCTTTAATCCCAGCACTTGGGAGGCAGAGGCAGGCGGATCTCTGTGAGTTCGAGGCCGGGCTGGACCGATAGCCTCTGAAACAATACAGAGAAACCCTGTCTCGTAAAACCAAAAAGACACTCAGGTCATCATTATGGTTCGACTCAAACTTCTGACTCCAAACTCAAGTTCTTATATATATTTTTTGGTTTTTTGAGACAGGGTTTCTCTGTACTGTTTTGGAGGCTGTCCTGGAACTCTCTCTGTAGACCAGACTGGTCTTGAACTCACAGAGATCCGCCTGCCTCTGCCTCCAGAGTGCTTGGATTAAAGGTGTGTGCCACCAACGCCCGGCCTAAGCTCAAGTTCTTAACTAAAAACAAAAAAACCAGAAACACATGCCAAAACTTGGTAATTATATCAGATGAGACTTTCTGAAAGAAAAAAAGCCCACATAACACATGAGCTTTAGAGTCTGTAAATTATACACTGTGCTGGACACTGGCTCTTGAGTCACTTCTTCCAAGCAGGAGAGAACAAATATACCTTGCTGCTTTAGACTCAGGGCCTCGAACTCTTGATTCTTGGTCATCTACCTCAGCCTCCCAAGTGCTGGGGTACGGCCGGATGATATGATTATCAGGCCTTCAGATGATTTTTCTGTCTCAAGACTAAGTCTGCGCTGACATACAAACAATCTCAGGGACTGTAAGAGTGCCTGGCATGTATTAAGCATTTGGTAAATAACTCAATCGTCAAGACCCCCAAGCACCATTTTATTCCCCAGGATAGAAGCCACAGCTCCTTCCTGGGTGCAAAGCAGGATACCTGGCAGTTCATGTTGTCCTCAGCCTCGATGAGTTTCCCTCGGTACACCTCGCCAGTGTTGGTCTCACATGTCACAATGTGGCCCTCAGCCTCGTGCAAGACTTTAATCGGCACGCCGATAGACATCTTGGCAGGAGTCTTCCTGTGCTACAGTCAATGAGAGAGACAACAGTTGCCTTTCAGAGCTTAAGAAAGAAGGACTGGCATGCCACACGCTTTGCAAATATGTCAGAGCTGCGTTTTCTGGGGAAGGAGGGCAAGCCGGACAGAAGAAGCCAGTGGGAATGAAGCATGCCTCCTGTCTGTTCCCAAACACATTATAGTCCCCGACAGAACTATGATATGGCCCTCAAATGTAATCACTGCTTACAAGGAGCTTTTCAAATACAATACAAATTAAAAAGTCCCCCTGTCACACTAGTAATATTCCAAGTGCTCAGCAAACACATTTGATTAAAAGCTACAGTACCTCACAGCAGATATAGACCCAGATAAAATCTCAAGGCGCTCACAAAGCGATACATGCTACAGGCAGGAAACGCTCATAGGAGAACAATCAGGGCAAACGCTCGATGTAGTCTCCGTAAAAGACGGGAGGCTACGCACAGGGCTTTTATAACTCTGATAAGCATTACCACCTATGTTCACGAGGAGACTGTAAGGATGCTAAACGCAGTCTCTCTTGGTGAGGAACCAGGGCTTCCAACTTAAGGAGTGTGGCTTTTAAGCTGAAAACGGTGGGGAAACACCAAAGGCTCAATTAAAAAAAAAACGACAACAACACGCAGCAGCATCTACAGAACGGATCGAACACAGGCCTTCTGCAGCAGAGCAACTTGTTAGAACTCCTGCAGCAGCGTGGGAAAGCGCGAGAGGACCAGAGTGGCGGTAGGGATGCAAAGGACGTTGAAAATGACGATACGGAGGGGAAGGTGGTAAATTCCTAAGAAATGACTGCTTGCAGGCTTCGAAAATCGGTGGCCCGGAAAGGCACAGAACGTGCAGACTAGGCGTAAATTAAGAACTAACTGTTCCAAGCGCTCGCGAGACGGCGTCTGGATCAGCCCGGGCTTCCTGCCCTCCATTGATGCCCCGCTGAGCTCCTCCGCAGGGCCCCTTCCTGCCCCTGCCCCTCTAGGGAAGCCTCGGCCCCCTCTTACCGGTTCGCCGCAGACTCCTTTTCGGTTCTGGCACAAACGTTAGAAGGCGAAGGCGTGAGGCGAGGGAATGGCGGGCTCCGGGTACCCAGAATACCACGCGCTCCCAGAATGCCGCGCGCAGCGCTCCTCCTTTTCCTTTCCCCGGCGGCGAGAGCACGCTTACGTATGCTTCCTCCTTACTCCGCCGGCTGGGAAACGAGGGCCCTGGCACTATTGTTCCGGCACTGGAGAGGACCGGAGCACCGCCCGAACCATCAATCCTCGAGCCCCAAAGGGGACATGGGGACCCACACTTACAAAGTACTCGGGGGACGGGTCGGGCGGGATCTAGGCTTGAGCCCAAACTGCTCTGGTGCGTCGGGAAGTGAGGCTCGGACTGGGAATTTAAGTTTTGGATCTGGTCGCCATCAGGTAAGCGGTGCACTGCGCATGGGAAACTGTCATGTTTTTCATCGTGTAGCTGAGACGTAAAGGGAGTCAGGAAAGGATTCCCTGGGGTTCCGATGAGGCACGGCGAGGGGCCCGAGCCGACACCGGAGGCTGCAAAGGAGCAAGCCCAGCTGATGGGGGGTTTGGGAGGAGCCGACGTCGCTCTGGAAGGGCCTGGGGGCGGGGCTCGGAAGGGGCGGGGCTTCCGAGAGGGGCAGGCCCTGCGGGTGGCTCTTTATGGAAGGGGAGTGGGTGGGAGAAGAGGCGTGGCCTAGGGGAGGGGTGGGTTTCCAGGCCCCAGACCTGGAAGGGACGAGGCGTGGCTTGAGGCGGCCGAGCCCCCGCCTACCCGTTTCTGAACCGCGAAGGCGACGGAGGAAGAGGCGGCGGAGGAGGAGGCGGCGGCGGCGGCGGAGGAGGCGGCGGCGGCGGAGGAGGCGGCGGCGGCGGAGGAGGCGGCGGCGGCGGAACTCTACCCACACTGGCCGCGCTCGCTGCCCAGCAGAAGTCGCAGCTGCGATCAGCTCCAGGCCGGGGCCATGGGCGCCCTGCGCCACCCGGGTCATGAGGACGGAGGCAGAGGCAGCGGGGCAGCCGCTCGAGCCCGGTCAGTGCCTCTCAAAGGGCCTTGCCCTCACCGGGGAAACCGAGGGGGACTCCGGGGGACTCCGCCCTAGAGCTGGGCAGGGTCCGGCCGCGCGACCTTGGGCCTTAGCTTCTAGTGGACCTTAGCTAGGTGGATATTCCTTCTCATCTCCCGTCCTCCACTTCTGGTTGTTTCTGAGTCTCCCGGGGCTGGGAGCTCGGGGAGTTCTGAGAAGCAGTCAAGTGCAGAAGTCCAAGGGCAAAGGCACTGCCTTCCCCAGAAACGAATAGTCCTGTTTGAACCCCGTTGCGTGATCCTGTCCCCAGGGGGAACTGTGGACGGCCTGGGGCTGTGAAGGGGGAAAGGGCGGCCTGAGATCCTTCTGCAAAGGGAAGGTCTTTTTTTTTTTTTTAAATCTGGCTTCCTAAACGCAGCGCTTTTGTCTTAGTACTGTTCTCTGGTTCCCTCCGCCCCGAGGAAACCCGAGCCCCTTTGCTTGCTCAAGAAGTGGGGAAAGCTGGAAGTCATGGTGGAGCTCTGCTTGAGGCGCAAGAGTTGATATATTAATAAATTGTTGTGGCGTGGTGCCATCCCATGGGAGGGGGTCAAGGGGTTTGGGACTCGAACCCTTTAGTGTCAGTTGGAGAGTAACACCCACTTTGGGGGAGTGGTTTCTTCTGGTGATAGGCTGGACCAGGGCTTGGACCCACCCTGGGATTTACATTTTTACTCCACCAGTTATCTGACTGTGAACTTTGACAAGATCGTTGCCCTTTCTTACCTCAGCAGATAATGGCTCACTTGTGTCGGGCGCTAAGAGGTAGATACCGTGGCAAAGTGTTTATAGATAGTATAGAAGGAATTTTCATAAATCCCGGTGAAGTAGACTACTGCTGTTATTTGTACTTTTTGAGGTGAGCAGGCTGAGTCTGAGAGGGAGAAGGTGTCCAGGGGGGAGTTGACCGCCTTCCTTCTCTAGAGACAACCAGATAACTGAAGCCAGTTCACAAAACCCAGCAGATCCTAGCTCTCAGGTAGGGTCATGTCTTGGCTTCAGGCATCAATATCAGCAGCAGCTTTGAGGTCTGAATGCTAAAGCTGTTATCCAGGCAAACACCAAGGCCTCTCCTACACTTATCACCTGCTTCCAGAAAACGTCTTGCCTGTGCCAAGATCAGGATAGCCAAGTAGGGATCTTTGCCGAGTGAGGCCTCAGGATCTAGTGGTTCTAAGGCTGAGTGAAGGGGGGGGGGTGGGAGAGAGAGAGAAGAGACAGAGAGAGAGAGAAGAGAGACAGAGAGACAGAGAGAGCTGGCGCTGAGTTTCTTAGCATCCTGAAGAGCAACCTTCCCAGCCCACATTTTATAACAGTATAAGAGAAGGCATGGCCCAACTAATTAGAGCCAGAGTGCAGGCCACAGAGAGAAGAGGGAGTCTCCAACAGAGGGTTGTGATCTGGAAGCCTAGAGCTAATGGGCACTGTAGTAACAAGGAGGCATTTCTAGGGGTAGAGCTTTAAAGCAAACCTATTCAACAGCATGGATGAATGCTAGCTATGGATAAAGGGTGGAAAGAGGCAAATGCAACCTTGACTCTACCTGCCTGTTGCAGAATTCTCAAGCCAACCGGGGAGAAAGCAGACGCCCCCTCTACGAGCCTGTTGTGGGGGAGGGGAGGGAGGAGGGGCAGAGCGTTTGGATGTCAGAGGTGAGAGAGCCACATTCCAGATCATTGGTTAGATAAAAACAAAGCCCCATAGTAATCAGCCTGAGTAAATCAGAGCAAGAAGGGCATTTACAGCCTCAGTGAGGGTTCTGGGAAGGGAAGACGCCCATCTTGATAGCACCCTTCCCTGCAGAGAGTTTTCCACTAGCATATTGAGAAAGGTTTAAGTCTCTGGAGACAGAGGTTTACATCATCTTGGTTTGCCCCAAGCCTGTCACACAGCTCATAATTCCTTCAGTAAGTGTGACTTTTTTTCCTTCCTTTTTTAAACTTGTAGCACTGGGGATTGACTGAACCTAGGTCCCTGGCAATACTACGCCCCCAGCCCCAAGTACAGTGATGGGTCACCACTGAACATTAGCTGCTAGGCAAGGAAACTGCAGACAAGACCAGAAAGTTCCCTGGTGTCTGTCCATTCGCACAACCGAATGATTTATAAAGAGCAGGAATTTATTTTCTCATAATTCTGGACGATTAGGATTCTAAGATCAGGGTGCTGGTAAGTTCAGCACAAGACCCATCTGTTCCTTACAGCCAACTCTTTCTAGCTGTGCACACATGACAGGGACAGAGGGAAGAAAGAGGAGAGCTTGCACAGCACAACATCAGAAGGACAAAAAGAAAAAGACCTATGACTGTTAGCTTGCTGTTTCTTCTTTATTTCTTCTAAGGTTTTGTTTATAAAGCTCTGTGTAGCTCGAGGCTACAAGAGGCTGTCAGGACCCCTTGAACTGGAGTTACAGACAGCTGCAAGCCTTTGTGTATGCTTGGAACTGAACTGCGCCTGGGTCCTTTGCAAAAGCATCAAGTACTTTTTAACTGCTGAGCCGTCTCCAGCCTTTTAGTTTTGTCAACCCGATACAATCTATAATCATGTGGGAAAAGAGCCTTAATAAGGAATTGTCTAGGTTACATTGGGCTGTTGGTCTGCCTGTGAGGATTTTTCTTTTTTTCTTTTTCAAGACAGGGTTTCTCTGTGGCTTTGGAGGCTGTCCTGGAACTAGCTCTTGTAGACCAAGCTGGTCTCGGAACTCACAGAAATCTACCTGCTTCTGCCTCCCGAGTGCTGGGATTAAAGGCGTGGACCACCAATGCCTGGCAAGGGATTTTCTTAATGGGTTAATTGAACTGGGAAGACTCGCCTTGAATGTGGGCAGCTCTGATTCCCGGGCTGGACCCCAGACTGACAAAAAGGGGGAAAGGGACTATGCAGAAGCATGTGTGTATTCTTGCCATCTGTTCCTGATTTTGGATGTGGTGTGACTGGTTGTCTCCTACTACTGTGACTTTACAGACAATATGATGTAACCTGGAACTGTGAGCTAAATTAAACCCTTTTCCCCTATGTTACTTTTGTCAAGGGGTTCATCACAGCAGCTGACAAGGAGACTAAGACACAGCCTAAGTTATTTTTCCTGACCCCTTATAAGGCACAAGTCCCGAGACTTCATGACTGAATTGCTTCCCAAGACCCAACTTCTTATTTAAAGATCTGTTTATTTTTATTTTGTGTGTATGAGTGTTTTGCTTGTGAGCTAGCCTGCGTACCATGTGTGTGCTCCCAGAGGGCAGAAGAGCATGTCGGAGAACCCCTGGAACCCAACTGGGTCCTCTGGAAGATTGCTAAGCCATCTCTCCAGCCCCTGAAGACCCAACAGCTTCTTCCCATCACCACTGTGAGGTTTATGTTTCAACGTGAGTTTTGGTTGTGAGGGATGCAGGCTCAAGCCATCACTGTTCTTCAGGAAGCTCAAGCTTGTGAGGTCACAGCAGCTTTTTGTGTTGCTTTTGCTAAGCACTGACTGAAACCAGCAGGATGTCAGGAAGGAACGCCCTTGTCACCCATCAAATGCAGAACCAATGCTGAAATAATAAGAGCAGTAGAGAGGAAAGTTCCAGACTGACGGTGCCGCAGGTGCGAAGATGGCTCCGGCACAGTTAAGGCTGGTGGGTTCATAGGGCAACTGGAGCAAGTGAAGGCTGAGTGAGCCCGGTGGCCCGAGGTTGAGCTGGGACCTGCAGGCTATTTAGAAGGCCAGGATCAGGGCTGGGCGTTGGTGACGCACGCCTTTAATCCCAGCACTCGGGAGGCAGAGGCGGGCAGATCTCTGTGAGTTCGAGGCCAGCCTGATCTACAGAGCGAGGTCCAGGATGGCCTCCAAAGCAATACAGAGAAACCCTGTCTCGGAAAAAAAAAAAAAAAAAGAAGACCAGGATCAGATGTGGCTCAGTTGGTATAGTGATTGCCCAGAGGAAGCCCCGGGTTCCATCCCCACCACCACATGAAACTAGGCATGGCGTCACATGCCTGTACTTCCTCAGGAGGTAGAAGGGTCAGAAGTTCAATTTCCCCTTTGGCTTTGTAAGACCCTGTTACCAAAAAAAACATTGTGTTTAGTGGGGGCAGTGAGAACTTATCTCATTTTTACACATTTTGTGTATGTGTGTGTTGGACATGTGTGTTTGTGTGTGTGTCCATGTGGAAGCCCAAGGCTGATATCAGCTGTCTTCTTGACTGTCTCAACTGTATTTATATGTGAGGCAGGGTCTCTTACTCAACCTTGAGTTCACGGTTTCCGCCTGTCTGGCTAGCCAGCTTGCTCTGGGGATTTTCTGTCTGCTTGCTGGGATTACAGGTGTGGGTGGGCTCTGAACTCTGGTCCTCACACTTGAGCTCCTTATCCACTGAGCAATCTGCCCATCCCAAGGACTTTCGAGGTTAGAGACTGCAGACGAATGCCTCTGGCTGTTAATGTGCAGGGACAGGTGGTGGACTAGGACTTGGGAAGGGAACAGACAAGATTGAATTTACAAAAGGCCCAGGGCCTTAAAGACTTAGGTTGAGAGGTGCTTTGCCTAGGCCCAGCACAACTGACGGTTCACCTACTTTCCTACGAGAAGCATTATGTAATGTATACTGTTGCCCCAGCTACTCACTGCTCAGTGCTGGTCCATTTCATAGAGGAGGAAGCAGAGGACACAGAAGTGATGTCAGGTGGCCTGTTTGTCATTACACTCCGCCTCCCACAGGCACACGGGGAGGTGAATGGCCAGGAACAGTGGTGAGTCCCTGTCCAGCAGGACACAGATAAGATCTGCTTGAGGGCTGCACACTGTGGCCTTAAGTGTGAACTCAGGCTTAAAGGATTACACTTGAGAAATGGGGACTGGTCTGCCTAGGGTTAGGGAAAGCCCTAGAAATAGTGGCCTTTCAACTAGTCCCTGAAGACATGGGAGCAGGAGGTTGAAACTCAGACACCAGGTCTGAAGAGCTGGGATAAACTCTGGCTAGTGGATGGCCCTCCTGTTTAACACACGCAGAGGGATTGATGGGAGAAGGCCGGCTTGGTAGGTGAGCCCCTGGGCTGACTTTGTACAGAGCTAGTCACCTGGCCCAGGGGAGAGCCCAGAAATCTTCAAAGGGATTGTGAGTAGACTGGGTTTTCATGTGTTGAAGAGAAGTGGTGATCAGTACAGAGAAGTCCCTCCTGGTTCTTTAAACTGTGGATTTCTTTCTTTCCTCCCTCCCTCCCTCCCTCCCTCCCTCCCTCCCTCCCTCCCTCCCTCGTGTGTGTGTGTGTGTGTGTGTGTGTGTGTGTGTGTGTGTGAGAGAGAGAGAGAGAGAGAGAGAGAGAGAGTGCATGTAGGCCTCCTCATTCTATAGCCCAGAGTGACTGTCTGCCTCTCCTTCCTGTCGCAGCCTCCCGAGTCCTGGGATTGTAAGTTTGAGTCACCATCCTCCCCTAGACTGAACTTTGTGCTTATTCACGGGCTGAGCCGCTGCAGGCCACGTGCCAGCTTGTCCTCCCCCTGGGGCCTCAGCGCGCACTGTTCTTCATCCATTTGAGTTCTCTGAGGCATGCCCATTGTTTTCTAACCTAAGCTGCTGGGTATCTGTTTTGTCTGTTTGTTCTTGCTACACAGTGGGACAGGATCTTATTGTGTTACTTGTCAATGTACTGCAGAAGGTGTGCCAGGCTCTTGGAAAGCATTTTCAATCTGTTGACTAAATCAGAGCAAAGCCTCCCACTTTAGGAATAGCAAAACACAGTCCAGTGAGAGGAGGATAGACAGCTCCTCCAATCAGCCGAAATGCCTAGGCATGGCCCATTCCGACCCACTCACAGCCTGGAACAGACAGGCTGCGTGGTTTGCCCAGGGTCAGTACTGGCTAGAGTCTGAAGGAGCATTCTACTACTCATGTAGCTTATGTGACATTTCCCTCTTCCTAGCCATGGTCTTCCCACGTTGCTCGTCCTGGCAACCTTAGAGCCAGGCAGACGCGCTGGGACACAACGAACAGGGGCAGCACTTGAGAAGAGTTGAGGTCCAAGGGTGGGTGTTAGCTCACGGGAAGCTACAAGCACCTAGGAAATTGTGTGCAATGACTCCCCAAGTGTGAGAGGTCATGGCAGATGCTGCTGCCGCCTAGAGTGGGCCCTGGCAATGTGCAGGAAACTGAACATACTGAGGCAGCAGCTAATACTGCTCTGTCTTGAAGTGATATAGGGGCCACCAGCACACTAGAGGATTTTGAGTAGAGCTGACTGGCTGTGGCTGATGTTTAGGGGAGCGTACTGGTGGTGTAAGGCAGTGAGGAGGCCCCTGTGAGCCTATAAGGTTTCAGCAGATGCTATAACAGTGTTTCCAGTAGGGGTGGCATTGCAAAGAATATGAAACCTCACTCTTGTTTCTTTGCAGGCGACTTTGTGCAGCTGCCTGTGCCCATCATCCAGCAGCTATACCACTGGGACTGTGGTCTGGCCTGCTCTAGGATGGTGCTGCGGTGAGTGTCCACACCTGCTGTGACATCAAACAGGAAGTAACCTGGATGGGATCTAGCATCTTTATGGGTTGGCTTTGTTTGAAACTTTAAGAGACCCAGCTTCATTTAGGCCCTGTCCTATTTTAAACAGGAATAGAATGTGGATCAGGCTGCCCAAGTGTTGACTCAGGCGATGCCTGGCAGCATGGGATGTTCAGGGAATTCCCAGGTGTTCATGCTGGGTGCGTGGTGCATCTTCCAGTCCTCTGATGTCAAGCTACCAGGATGCTACATCAATATAAGAACCTTCATAGTCTGAGCCGGGAAGGACCATTCCCATCACCTTGGACCAGAGTTTATTTTATTTGGTTGTCTGGAGACCCAGATTGATTCTCCTTTATCTACCTTACATATTAGAATTCTGGCCAAGATAGAGCTTAATAAAATGTTTAGTGCCTGAAATTTTGAAAACCACTTCTGTGATCCAGGGGCTTAGATATGCAATCAATGAGGCCAGAGGAAGCAGCAACTTCCCCAGGTTTACATCATCCATAAGAGATGCAAGAACCAGGGGCTGGAGAGATGGCTCAGAGGTTAAGAGCACTGACTGCTCTTCCAGAGGTCCTGAGTTCAATTCCCAGTAACCACATGGTGGCTCACAACCATCTACAATTCAATCTGGTGGCCTCTTCTGGCATTTAGACAGAACACTGTATATGTAATAAATAAATAAATCTAAAAAATAAAAATATTTAAAAAAAAAAAAGAGATGCAAGAACCAAAAACCAGGCCCTTCACTCTAGGGCCAGAGCCCTGAAAGCCACCATGGCAGTTTCATGATAAAGGACAGAGACCTCTTGAGGATCAGAAGTGCCAGCAGTGCTTGTGGCACTAATTGGAAGGTGACTTCGTCTAGCTTTGCCTCAAGAACAAGCTAATCCTCTGTCCTCTTGTCCTCAGGTACCTGGGCCAGCTAGACGATGGGGAATTTGAAAATGCCCTGCAGGAGCTGCAGCTGACCAGGAGTATCTGGACCATTGACCTCGCCTACCTGATGCGCCACTTTGGTGTGAGACACCGCTTCTGTACCCAGACTCTAGGTGTTGACAAGGGCTATAAGAATCAGGTGAGCAGCTACCCACCGGGCCTTCTGCACACGGAAAACCTAGGTATAGGCCACCCAGTTATCCCAGAGGAGGGAATGGCCAAAGCCGGGACACTCGAGTAAATGCACAGGTATGCAGAGGCACATAGACTACAGACCAGTATCTCGAGGTCTAGACTGTATGGAGCATAGGCACATTGAGTCCAGGACTTCTGCATCTTTCTCCAGTGCAACACAGGACAGGTTGAAGGCTGTGGAGTTGCACTCTGATCTTACACAATTATCATTGGCTTATTTTCTTCATACTCACTAGGGTAACTGGTATTCTTGATGGGGAATGGTCTTCTGTGTATATGTTTGTCTTATTGGTTGATGAATAAAGCACTGTTGGCAAATAGGGAAGAAAGATAGGTGGGACTAGGAAAAGTGGAGGATTCTGGGAAACAGAGACACAGTCACCTTGTAGGACTCAAGAGGAATAAGAGATCCGACTTTTTCTCTGGTAAGAGAAGACCACGTGGAAATACTCAGATTAGTAGATATGGGTTAATAGTTAAGTCAGAGCTAGCCAATAAGAAACCATAGCAAACAGCCAACAGCTTCATAATTAATACAGCTTCCTGTGTGTTCATTTGGGACTGATGCAGCTCTGGGACCAGGCTGGAGGGAAGAACGCACGTTACATATTCAGGAAGAAAAATACGTATTATCTGTCTGCTCTCTGTCATTTTTTCTCTCTCTTGAAAAATAATGCCATCATAAATGGCATTGCCAACACCAGTGTGTTGGCCCTCGCAAAGCCAGATCCAGTCTTACCTGTCCTTGAGGCAGTCTTGGCTCAGGCACCAAGGCTTGGCAGGGCAGTCTCTGCTGGCCTTGTTGTCAAAGGGACTGTCACTTGTTGGCCAGTGGCAGTCAGCCCAATTCTTCTTTGAACCTTCCATGTGAGGTACAGAAGGCTACTAAGTCTTAAGACAGAAAAAGGGGACCTAAGAACAGAATGTCTTTGGCCTGCCTCCTGGGGCTCTGGTCACATGAGGTCCCAGCACCAAGCAGAGTATGTTCCGTAAATCATGCTTGGCTACACTGGGCTGTGGCTGAGTCACCCTGGTGTGGATTGGAAGGGCAGCCTTGTCCTCCTTACTCCTTTGCTTTAGGCTGCTGCTCACGTCTGTCAGAGAGTGGTCAGTACCAGTCCTCCTTGGGGAGCTAGTCAACTTTCAACTTGAGCATCCTTTTCGTCCTCTGTGTGGTCCTGTCCACTCTCCAGCCAGGGACAGACACAGTCTTCTTTCTGAGCATGCTGGGTAGAGCCACCTGCCTGTCAGTAGAGTTCCCATACCCTCATGTTATTGCTTCTATAACGTGCTCTTTGCTTCACCTAAATGGAGTGTGTGCATCCAGGATGGGTGACAACTCCAGCCGGCCCTTCTCGCTTCAGTCCTTCTATAGGAAGCACTTTGACACAGAGGAGACCCGGGTGAACCAGCTGTTTGCACAAGCCAAGGCGTGCAAGGTGCGAGTGGAGAAATGGTAAGTCTTCTCACTCAACTTTCCTGGGTCATAGTGACAGGCCAGGACATTGCCACTTGCAGGGAGCTCAGGGCAGGGGGCAGACAAACCAAGTCCTTATGTACCATAACACTGGGGATGCATGCAAACTGGGGGGCATCAATTTGGAAGAGGGGACAAAGGCCCACTAGCACTGACTGACCCCCCTCCTGGCCCCCAGCACAGTGAGCGTGCAGGACATCCAAGCACACCTGGCCCAGGGCCACGTGGCCATCGTGTTGGTGAACTCCGGGTTACTGCACTGTGACCTGTGCTCCAGCCCTGTCAAGTACTGCTGCTTCACTCCCAGTGGCCACCGCTGCTTCTGCCGCACCCCTGACTACCAGGGCCACTTCATCGTTCTGCGTGGCTACAACAGGGCTACTGGCTGTATCTTCTACAACAACCCAGCCTATGCTGACCGTGAGTGCTGGGGGCAGGTGGGCCAGGGTGGCTTGTGTTTACACAACCTCCTCCCTCTCAAGCTGGTGTGGCCCATGTGTCTCTCTCCAAGGCCTGCGCTCCTCCTGGAATCTTGTCATCAGGGCTTGCCTTCTGGTCATACAAGCAAACCTGCCACAAACCTCCCACTGTCAGATTTCTAGTTATCTCTCACTGCCAGCTTTACTGCTCAGGCCCCCACCTTGATCACTTATGTTCCACGGCTATCACCCCCCCCCCCGCCCCCCACTCCTAGACAACACACAAGCTAGAGACTCTGGCCAGGCCTTGTCCTTGTAGACTGCCCACTGTCCTCAGGCCATGGTGTGAAGGACTTTCCCGACCCTCTTTGTATCTTTTTTTTTGGTTTTTTCGAGACAGGGTTTCTCTGTGGCTTTGGAGCCTGTCCTGGAACTCACTTTGTAGACCAGGCTGGCCTCGAACTCACAGAGATCCGCCTGCCTCTGCCTCCTGAGTGCTGGGATTAAAGGCGTGCACCACCAACGCCCGGCTTCCGACCCTCTTTGTATCTTGACACATATTTAACATACTTCTTCCCTTTGGGTTTCATTTTCTCTGCCTGCTAAACTAGGGATGGAAGGCTTGAGGCAAGAGGTGGCATGACCCCATCCAGGCCCCTGGGTATTGGCAGGGTGGGTGTTCACCCCACCCACTGGCCTGACTCTGTCTTTCTCACACCTGGCAGGAATGTGCAGCACCAGCATCAGTAACTTCGAGGAGGCCAGAACCAGCTACGGCACGGATGAGGACATCCTCTTTGTCTACCTGGACAGCTGACAGCAGGAGCCTGGCATGTCAGGTCCTTGGACCCTATGTCCTGCCCAAGCCAGACCCACTCAGGATGCCCACACCTGGGGCTGCTGGGGCTGAGGTTCAGAACTGTAGTCTCAGCCTGCTTGACAAAGCCCTTGGGAACTCTGTGACTGCTTCACCAGTGTCACCGTGCCACTTACCCCAGACACCTTCTAGTTGCTGGAGACAACCCATGGGCATCTAAGGGGAGTATCTCTCGAAACCCTAGGTCTGACCCCAGCTGTGCCCAGAGGAAGACCTCAAGTCTGACTCCAGCTACGCCCAGGGCAAGGGGAGAGGCAGGAACCCTGAGAGAGAAGCGTGTTTGGGGAAAGCACATCCAAATTCCAGCCTGTGGCTCTCGGCCACTCTAAGCCCCATGGTGGATGGCATCTCTGCTCTCTCCTGCCTCCAATGGACTCAGGTCTCTGGGACTGGTTCCCAGGCCTTGTTACCATGCAGCATAATCATACCTCATGGCCACTCTGAGGCCCTCTGACCCCGGGGATGCTGACACCTTCATAGCTTCTAGGTACCCTCCTCTAGAATGGAAAGCCTTCAGGAGTGGGCGGGGCTGAGTGGATAACAGCAGAGAGATGTTCCAGGAAGAGGGTACTGACAAGAGACTCCCCAGAGAGCCCTGTATCCACGAGGCCTCCTGACACCAGCCTGACTTTGCACAGCTGTGTCTGCCCTCTGAGTCGGGGCCTTTTGAGGATGGGTGCTTCAGGGCCCATGCCCCAAACAGCAGGCCGTGCCCCACCCACCCTGGGCATTTGTACAGAGTACTGGGTCTCTTCAGTCCTGAAGAAAAGCAGTGCCAGTGTCTCGTGGCCCAGCAGGCAGCATCAGCTGGAGCTGGTTTCTTTGTCTTCTTTTTGCTCTTGGTAGCAAGAGTGTTGTTTTACTGAGACTTCAGTTCCCACTGTGTGGGGAGTAAGACAATAATAGATCCAGGTACTTTGACACCACTGACGCTTCTTTCTGTAGGGCGGAGAGGCCAGTCCGAGTTCTGAAGAAGACTGGCATAGCCGGGCCAGCAGTCTGAATGGTGAAGCTGCACCAAAGACACAAGCGAATGGGTCATTCCCAAAGAGACTAGGGAGCCCCCTCCTCATGGTACCCCAATAGCCTCTCATTGTCCCCTCACTCCAGGGGCTTGATCTTTCAGTGCTCAAGGCATGACGTGGCAGTAACTGCTTCCCCTACCACTAGCTGACCCCTCACGATGGTTTGAGGAATAGAGGTGGTCTGTGTTTACAAGGGCAGTCAGACCACTCACCCATATTATCCCTCAATATGAGATGAAGCCTTGGGCAGAAAGGAGGTGCTGTTGGCTTGACAACCACTCTGGGTTTCAGAGACTAGCACTGGTTTCAGTCTGGTCTCATTTCCCTTGCCTTAATGCTGAGTATCCCAGGGCCCCAAGGAACTCTGGCTCCCAGCTCAGGAGTACCACATAGCAGCTCTGGGTATGGGTGTCCTCGACTGGCTGACAGGAGGAAGTAAAGCCTTCCCGACAACTGGCTGGGATGAGGCATGGGCACACAGGCTCACGGGAGGTGGCTTCCCTAGAAGGCGGTCATCTTTAACCATCTAGGACAGTTAAAAATACTCAGCCCCTGGACCCAGATAATGGCTTCTTAGGACAAGGCACAAGTTAGAGTCTACCAGTCTGTAAGAACAACATGACAGCTGCTGTCTTCAAGATCGCCTACCTGAGGCGGGTCACAGAGACAGTGTCACCAGGCACTGGTCTATTGCACTGGTCATGAAAATGGGCTCGAGAAAGCCTTGGCGTCAGAGACTTGCCCACAGCATTCGACACACACTTCTCAGCTTCTCATGCAGACCAGGGTAGGCCCTGAGACCACATGGGGACTGTAGATGGGTTTGTTCACTCTTGCCACAGGAGGATGAAAGGGATTTTTGCATAGCAGGATTTTCTACATAAATATATTTTGTTTGTAATGAGCCATTCTCAATAAATCTTCTCACTGAACGGTGGTAGCCCCCTTTGTCTGGCCGCTGGGAAGCCCTGTTAACCTGCAGAGCTCCTGCTTCCCCGGGTGGTCGCTGCGACTACTTGGAGCCAGGTCCCTGGGGTTCTTTATCTAGTCTTAGCTGGCACTGGAATCTCATTGCCTGCCTTCCAGGCCTCACCCAGGCCTTGATGCTGGACAAGGATAGACAGTACCTGTATGTTTCAGAACTCAGACTGGCTGAGGAGAGGGAGCCGGTCATCTACAGGAGGGGAACAAGGGGGCTCAATGGGAGGACCCCAGCCTTAGTTCCCTTTGCTCCAGCATGAAGCCAGATAATAGTCCTCTAGGCTTTTATGTGACATAATGTTTGACACCACCAGCGGAGGTGACTGATAACTGACAGAATTCCCTTTGCAGGCCGAGTGAGATTCACCATCCTGATTCCTTACAGCAGTCAAGGAGGAGCCGCTGTCTCCTCTCCTCTCTCCTCTACCTCCAGCAGCTAAAAAAAAAAAAAAAAAAAAAAATAGTAGGCCCCCAGTGCCTTCCTGAGCTCAGTGCCTCACCGCCCGTCCACTGGGTCCTCTACAGATCAGCTCCCATCCAGCAATGTTCAGACCAAGAGCTGTCGAGCAGGCGAGGCTCACTGCCCGAGGATCCAACAACCCTAACCCTCCCTTTAAAATGCTTCAAGCCTCCGTTGTCAACAGTTTTGCTGATTGGCGCTTCTGACAGAGGGAAGCTAGAGGTGCCCCTGAGAGGTCCCTGACACAGTGAGCAGCTATTCTCCTCCAAAGCTAACTGGGTATTTAAAAAACAAATTTCTTGCTTGGTGGTAGTAGCGCACGCCTTTAAGCCCAGCACTTGGGAGGCAGAGGCAGGCAGATCTCTGGCGAGTTCCAGGACATCTGGTATTTATTTTTGTTTTATATTAATTTTTTTGTTTGTTTCTTGCTTTTTGAGACAGGGTTTCTCTGTGTAACCCTAACTGTCCTGGAACTTCCTCTGTAAACCAGAGCTGGCCTTGAACTCACAGAGCTTCTCCTGCCTCTGTCTCCTGAGTCCTGGGATTAAAGGTGTGCACCAGCACTGCCCGGTTCATTTTTTCTTTCTTTTTAATTGTGTGGGTGGATGTTTTGCCTGTATGTGTGTGTGCTTACTGACTGGAGGTCAGAAAGTCTCCTGCAACTAGAGGTAGACACCGTTGTGAGCTGTCGTGTGGGTGCTGGGAATCAAACTCTGGTCCTCTGGAAGAGCAGCCAGTGCTCTTAACCACTGTGCCATCTCTCCAGCCCCTCAAATGTATTTCAAGACTCTTCAGTTTGGGTCTGTGAATTGGGTAGATCATGGCTGTGACACATAAATACATAGATACCCATCCTAAGAACATGTTTTCTTTGAACCAACTGGAATAAGGCTGTTGCTGTAGCCTGCGTGACCTGGATTCTATTTATCATTGTGTTGGACTTGACAACACCCCCACTGTTGTGAGCTGGACATATAGGAAAAGATGGCAAGCAGTGCAGAGACTACCAATCAGGCCAGGCTTGTGTTTGGCCAATTCTCTTTCAAGGAAAGAGTTCACCTTGTACGGGGCGTAGCCCTGAAAGGCTCCAATGTAGTCAGTTATTCCTGGCTCCCACTCAGAGGGTGCTGTTTTGTGGGATAGAGAATATAAAACATCAAGTAGAATGTCCACCTGAGGCATATGCTATCTCCAGTGTAGAGTCCATGAAAGGACTGGCCTGCCTTTTTTGGTGCTCATGGAAGATTAAAAAGGAAATGGCCTAGGGTAGAGTTACAGCCTCTTTGTGGTTGGTCGGTGCTGCATATTACTGCTGACACTTTCCACATTATTGTACTCCACTTTGATCAGCCAACTCTGGGGGTATAATGAAGGCTGCTGAGCAGACGTGTGATCTAATTTTGGCTCTCAGAGCCATTTTTAGTCTACCAGTGGTACACTTCTATCACAAAAGTCACCCCACGGTGGCTGACAATCAAGGTGTCCACACTTCCTGCTGCCTGTAAGCACCTGGCACTGTTGAGTCCTAGAATGGCTTCCTCAAAAACCAACTCAGACATATGTGTTTGATTTTCTCAACCAAGGGTGATTAAGTAGAATCATGAGACCCTGTGCTGTTGAGAGTCTCGTTTGGGAGACACCAGACCTGGTTTCCATCCATGCTTAAGGATCCTGGTTTCACAGGCACATGCTTCGGCCACTCACACAGCCTCATTTTTGCACATAATTAACTTGCAAGTAAGGAAAAAAACCCACCTACCTCTTTAGGGTTCCTGAATGTTTGAACTTTTTAATATAGTGACTTCCATTTCCTGAAATCTGTCCTGAAGATACACTCTGAAGGAAAAAGAAACAGGACCAGGTTTAACCTTTAAAATGTTCATACCCATGCCGGGCGTTGGTGGCGCACACCTTTAATCCCAGCACTCGGGAGGCAGAGGCAGGCGGATCTCTGAGTTTGAGGACAGCCTCCAAAACAATACAGAGAAACCCTGTCTCGAAAAACCAAAAAAAAAAAAAAAAAAAAAGTTCATACCTGCATTTTTGGTCACAGCAATATAGATGAATGAATAAATGAATGAATAACTTAAGTCTGATGTAGGAGAGTAATTAAATAAGGGGCTATTCAAATGTAAAATATGCAGATTGTAGAAATAGTTTTTAAACCAACTTTTTTGAAGAAGGAAAATGCTCACATGTTGTGAAACAATGGAGTAACAACATTATAGACCTATGGATCCAATTACATTAAAATAGGTACTAGCAGGGCAGTGGTGGCACATGCCTTTAATCCCAGCACTCGGGAGGCAGAGGCAGGTGGATCTCTGTGAGTTCGAGGCCAGCCTGGTCTACAGAGCGAAGTCCAGGACAGCCTCCAAAGCAATACAGAGAAACCCTGTCTCGAAAAACCAAAAAAATAAAATAAAAAAATAAAATAGGTACTAAAAGACTGAAAAGATTTATGCCAAAACATTAGTTATGAGTTATCTCTCAGGGGGTAGAGTTGATTTTATTTTCTTTTCGTTTTTTTTTTTCCCCTCACATTCCAAATCCTCTGTGAAATGCTTATTTCTGACAAGAGAGGCTGATTTCTCTTTGCCACAATGCCCAGCCCTCTCTCACCCACAATCCCCAGCTGTGGCTTTATTTGTTCAGTAGATGTTCCCTGGGGCTAACTGTGCACCAGGCACTAGAAGAGGAAGAATCCAGAGTCGGGGCAGCTCTCAGTTTACAGGTTCCCCCCCTTTTTTTCTTTTTAACTTAAAAACAGGGTCTCAGTATGTAGCACTGGTGGGCTTGGAATTTGCTATGTAGACCAGGCTGGCCTCAAACTTACAGCGATTCACCTGCCTCTGCCTCCCAGTCGTTGGGATCAAAGGCCACCACCGTGCCCAGCTTTTGAATATTCACCCTAGGTTAGGCATGTTTCTGGCTAGCTCTTTTTTGTTTTGTTTGTTTTTCTGAGACAGAGTTTGTCTGTGTAACAGTCCTGGCTGTCAAGGAACTTGGCTTGTTAGACCAGGCTGGTCTTCAATTCACTGAGATCCACCTGTCTCTGCCTCCCAAGGGCTGGGACAAAAGGCATGTGCTACCTCAGGACTTGTTTATCTACCCTTTGCCTGGGGCTGTTTACCTTTCCTTTCTGTATGACTTACTTTCACTACTTCTGTGTTTGACTGGCTGGAGGCTGCCTGCATTCCTACCCCAGGCCTGGGCTTCATTCTCTTGGAGCCTACATTTCTCCCCCTATTCATTCTCTCTGCCCTCCAGCCCTGCCTGTCCTTTCTCCTGCTATTGGTCAATCATCTCGAAGGTGCTTTAGGCAGGCAAGGTGAAACAAATGCAACACATCTTTACAGAATTAAATACACAATCCTACAAATGCAACATAAACAAATGTAACACACCTTTACACAGTTAAAGTAACTTTCTGCAGCATAAACAAATGTAACACCATCTTTGCCTAGTTGCCTTCTCTGATGAGGAACAGGGAGGGTGGGGCTCTGAAGCACCGCCTCCCACCCCTGACTCTGACCAACTACAGTCTGAGGCTCAGCGCTCTACCCCTGAGCTACACCTTCTGCACCTGGGCTTGGTATAAGGGGCACAGCCACACAGGCACTGCACTGACAACTGCCAAGGGCCTTCACGGAACATCTAAGTCTTTCTCTCTCTCACAACCATGCTGGAACCTAAAGCAGGACAGCCACGTGACTCCATTATACCAGCACACAGGCAGAGAACTGAGTGACCTAATTGTAAGTCAGGGTCAGCCACTGAAGTGGGAACCGTGAGAAAATGGACAGAAATAAAAGACAGCAAGAGACTTAGCAGAAAGCATTTTCTGATGTCGAGATGGGGCTGGTTAGGAAAGACTGAGACCCACAGGCAAGGCCATCAGGGAGGTCAGATTGGGACTCTCGGGCACTGGCTGGTGACCTGCCCCACTCACATACAGATGCTTATGGTAATAGCATCCATCATGCCATGGGCAACCACTTCTGATTTTACCATAGCAAAGAGTGTCATTAATGTCTTTAAACCAAGTCTAGTGAATAGAATTCCAGAAACCCAGAACCAAAGAGGAAAACTCATCCTTAAGATTCCGTTCTTTGGGATTGCTTTCAGCATCAAGGTCTGTGGCAGTTAGACCCAGCCAGAGGGGTATATATTAGGAGACGTAAGGAGGACCTGAAGGGAGTGACGTGGAGCTGACTAGGTGTTGTAGGGTAATCTTTTTATACATTGTAGAGATGTGTCTCTGCCTAAGGCACCTTCTGGTTGGTTTAACAAATAGCTGAACAGCCAATAGCAAGGCAGGAGAGGATAGCAGGATTTCCGGGGTGAGAAAGGAATGCTGGGAAGAAGAATTAGTCTCACAGGAAACACCAATGAGTCTCAGAACAAGTCAGGCATACAGAACAGAAGAAAGATTAAAAAAAAAAAGCCATGAGGCAGAACATAGAAGTTATAAGAGCTAGTTGGGAATAAGCTTAAGCGAATGCCAAACTTTCATAATTAATAAGTCTCCATGTCATTATTTGCAGGCTGGAAGTCCAAGGAAAAGTCCAACTACAGCTAGGCAAGTCTAGTAGCTCCAGGGAAGTCTGTCAGGGAGGCAGGTTGAACCTCTCAGCAAGGATTGGAGCGACTATCTCCACACAATTCCTTCCTCCCCACAGAAACCACGAGGGTTCCCGTCCAGGTTTGATGGCATGATCTCAGTCTGCTGGCTATAAACTTTAATGACATTTGTAAGATACCTTTGTACAAAGCAATCAGTCATTGTTATACTTGGTTATCAATTAAGGAAGCTTAGAATGGCCTGGAGATAAACCTCCCTGTAAACCTATGAGGAAATGTCTAGATTGGGTAATTGGCATGGGCAGTATCATTCCATAGTCTACGGTGAGGGACTGTCTCTTTCCTTCTGTAGGCCCAAGGGAGCCAGCTGCCAGAACCCTGCCATCATGATATCTCTGCTATGGTGGACTTTGCCCTGGAACTATGAGCAACTCCCCACTTCTGTCCTTAAGTCTATCATGTATTTTTGTGACAGCAATAATCAAAGTGGCTATCACGAAGAGCATGACAGCCCACGCCTATAGTCCCAGCTAAGCAAGGCTGACTAAGACAAGAAGTTTAAGAGCAGCCCGGACAACCTAGTGAGAGCTAGATCATCTCAACGTTCTGTGTCCTAAATCTTTTTTCTTACACCCACCTAGGTCTGTGCCTAACTGAAGAGTTTTGAAACTATAGCCAAAGTGGGGATACACCAAAAGAACATCCCACCTGCTCACAGCCACACTGTGTCCCCTGTTTAGTTTTCTTGTCACTTGGCACACCTGGGAAGAGGGGACCTCAGTGGAAGAATCGACTCCCTCAGATGGGCGTGTCTGTGGGGCGTTTTCATAACTGATAATTGATATAGGAAGGCCCAGCCCACTGTGGGTGGTTCCACTGCTGGGCAAGTGGGCTTGGGCTGCACAAGAAAAGGGCCTGGGCGAGTGAGCCATGGGGAGCTAGCCAGCAAACAATAATCCTCCACGTCTCTGCTTCAGTCCCTGCCCCCAGGGCCTGTTCTGATTGCTCTCCGTGACGGGCTGTAACCTACACGTCAAATAAACCTTTTCCTCCTGCTCGTCCACGCTCCTCCCCTCACCCCAGACAGGGTTTCTCTGGCTGTCCTGGAACTCACTCTGTAGACCAGACTGGCCTTGAACTCAGAGAGCCACCTGCCTCTGCCTCCCGAGTGCTGGGATTGAAGGCGTGCGCCACCACCGTCTGGCCCGTTCATTTCTTTTGGTCAGTGTTTTATGACTGTATGAGGAAAACCAAACCAGCATGCTGTGGTCTCTGGGATCCCCCCTGTCCCCACCCTGCACTAGCACACAGTCTCCAAAACAGACCCTCAAGGAGCTGACACCTCAACACAGGAGTCTAATTTCAAATCCACCAGTGTAAGCAACATCTAGGGGTTTCTTAAATTGAGGTAGAACTTGTATAACAAAAGAAACTCTTCAAGTGTGTAGTCCTGTTACACTTCATATGTTTCCAAGATTGTTGAACCATCCCCAGAATATTTCTAACACCCTGGAAGAAAACAAAGTCCTAACTTTTAGCATCTAACTTTCCACTTTCCCAGCTGATCTGTCTCCTGCTTAGACATTTAAAACACCATCATGCACTTTAAAAGTCACTCACTGGGACCTCAGATGTCCTGTACCTACCTGACTGGCCTAGGAAGGCAGGGGCTGGAGCCTCCATGATGGTGGGGCTGTAGTTGGGCTTGACAGACTCAGCAAGCTCCCAAATACACATCTCAAATCTGCCTGTAATCAGAAAACACACACACACACACACACACACACACACACACACACACACACACACTCTGGACATGGTGGTGTACACCTTTAATCCCAGAACTTGAGAGGCAAAGGCAGGCAGATGTCATTGAGTTTAAGGCCAGTCTAGTATATAAAGCAAGTTCCAAACCAGCTATGGATACCCAGTGAGACCATGTCTCAAACAAAACCAACTGCAAACACACACTACCTTACTTAGCACCACATCTGGCCACTAGGGGGCTGCCACGGGGCAGAGAATATATCCATCATGCTGATTGCCAGGGCTGATTCAGACAGCAATAAAGACAAGCAATTGCATTATGACCTCTGCGTGGATGCCAGGGAAGTTGAGGGGTTCGAGATGACTCACACAGCCCAGCCCACTTGACTGTGACCCTCTCGGTCCGGGAGGTGTGGTCAGGCCTGAGGCAGGATGGAGGAGAGGGGAATGAGCTCACATTCATCATCACTGGGAAGGCTTTTGTTTCCAGAAAGGGTCTAAAGAGGAAACCACTCCACTTGTGGGGATACCTGGTAAAAAGAGCTGGCCACATCCGTGGCTCCAACTTCTGACTGAAGTGGAATCCTGCATTAACCTCGGCTGCCCAAGAAGAGGACAGGGAGACCTTCTCATGGGCAGTACCTCATCTGCCCAACGAGAATCTGAGTCTCTGGGATATGAGCAAGGACTCACACTCAGGCCAAGTCAGGGAATAGAGTCCAGAGTCAGCATCTGGGCTCCTCCGGTCACACTTGGCAAAGCCACCCAGGTACACAGAGAGGGGACAGGAATTTTCTGTCTGTGCACTGCTGGAGGCCAGGGTAGCAAACCTTGCAGCCAGGAGCCCTTCCAAGGGTCCCGGCCTCGGCCACCCCTGTGTCATCCCAGCGTGGCAGGCACCTGCTCTCTCACACTGCTGACACCACAGGCAGCATTCGAGACGGCTCCTGAGGCTTAGGGACAGAAGATGTTTGCCCCAAAGGGATCTTGTAAGGTGGAGTCAGAGCCAGGCAGAGATCCAGTTTTCCCATGTGACCCGATTCCCACTATTGTCTCAATGTCTAGACTGTGGAGCCTGGTCACAGGCAGAGCCAGACATGCACATTTATCTTGTGACAAATGCAAATGCCAAGACAAATGCAAATGGAAAGAAAAAAATGGATTCCGGAAGCCAACCCACTGTTTTCTCTAGACAAATGAAATTGAGATTAATTTGTGTGAAGACGCCCAGAATCTAAATCAAATGCAAGGAGGATGCATCGATCCCTCTGCCTGTGCATCAGTCCACACGGTGACTCCTCCCACAGCCGGCAGAGTCTCTGACCCATTCCCAGCCTCTCTGTGAACCTCCTTCATCCTCCAAGGTATATCCCATTCTAATAAATCCCCTTCTGTCAGTTCTAGACCTCCAGAGAACCTTGACTAACACAAAAAATTCTGCAAGTTTGGAGTGCCATCCAGGGCTTCACACAAAGGGATCTAGAACACAGTTATGTACAACCTCTTATAGCCTTCTGGAGCACTGATGAATCTCCAGGCCAGGTAAGATATCTCTTTGGGCCGGACGTTGGTGGCGCACGCCTTTAATCCCAGCACTTGGGAGGCAGAGGCAGGTGGATCTCTGTGAGTTTGAGACCAGCCTGGTCTACAGAGAGGGTTCCAGGACAGCCTCCAAAGCAATACAGGGAAATCCTGTCTCAAAAACAAAACAAAACAAAAACAAACAAAAAGCTGTCTCTTTGGTACGGGATATCTTGGGGTGGAGGATTTCTAGCAGAGGGTTGGTAGTTGATGTCTCCACAACCACATGCAGACCCAGAACCTGTGACAATCTGTGCTGACTCAGGAGACATCATCAGTATGGCTGGGTGGGATGGGGAAGGAAGAAGATGGGAACTCATGTCAGAGTCCTCCCCCTTCTAGAGAGCCCACAAGGGGTTCTCTGTTAATTAACAGTTCAGTTCCACACAAGTCCTGGGGAGGCAGTGAGACCAGTCCCATTCCCGTCCGATCCCCATTTGGGGAACCAGGTGGCCGCCAATGAGGAGCCACACCCCATCCATGGTCTCTCAAACTACACACAAGGAGGCAGAGGAGAGTCAGTGGTGCCTTCCTGGGCACAGGCTGTGCAGCAGACCCCGCCCAGAGGAAGTAGGTGGAGCAGGGGAAGATGAGGCCCAGCAAAGGGAAAGTTCATGAACATACCTTTCTTTCCATCTCCAGAAGTGAACTCATTGGGGTAGTGTTCCTGTGAATTAAGTGCAAGGCCAAGATGAGCCTCTAGGTGGCAGCACTAGGACAGTCATTCCCCATCACCCAGCCAGGTCGAGAGAAGCACTGGGGTTAAGAAAAAGTGATTGGCAAAGGCTGGGTTCCTATCCTGGATGGCCACAGCGGCTCACTGTTAGGACCACGAGGAAACAAATGTAGACTTCCCAGCTCTACTCAGTGGAAACTCAACCCAGCCACTGCCTTCAGAGACTGGTGGCCATACCTCAAACCTGCAAGCAGAGTTGAGCATACAAGCTTGTAATCCCAGTGCTTGGGAGACTGAGACAGCAGGATTCCAAGTGTAGCGGCCAGCCCAGCCTGTATATCAAGTTTCAGGCTATTCTGGGCTATACAGTGAAACTCAGTCTTAAAACCTACAAGCCCATCTATTTGTCCTTGCTTACGTAATAGCGTCTCTCTGACTAGGTCATCTACGTGCGGAGTCCACACAACTGTGTTCTCATCTAGAGTGAGACAGCCTTGGATTGACCTTCCTCTTAAACCAGTTTTCTTCTCTAAAAACTTCCTCTAAAGGGTACTAAACAGATGAGTGACTAAGCAGATCTGTTTCCGTGGGGAGGGGAAGCCCTGGGAAAGTAACGTCCTGAGTGACTGGATGCTGTTGACACAGCACAGCTCCAAAGCCTCAGTTCTGTGGAAAAATCTCCGCCCCACTCCACCCCACCCCTCTTCCCCCCGAGTGGCCAAATGAGGCTCGGAGGGATGGCAAAACCTTTCAGTTTGTGCGGATGGTGACAGTGTAGCCAGAAAATGTCAATCACAGTTTTTTCTTTCCAGATGTTCACTTCTTGAAGACTTTGCCCTCTTCCCCAGAAGAGCGGAAACCCGCCCCCTTGACTCAGCTGCATATAGTAATTGTCCCACCTCCTTGTTCATTTGCATACAGCAGCCCCGCCTCCCTGTTGGATTGTATATAATAAACACGCTGGGCTTCTGGGGTGCTGCGGCATCTCCGCCATAGAGTCCACTTACTCCACCCCAGCTTTCCCGGGGTCTGTGTGTTTGTCTTTCCTTCATTCCCTCACAGCCCCAGTCAGGTCCATCCCTGGAGTCAGGCTGGGGGCAGCAAATCTCCACGTGTGGGTTCCATGATGCTATCCTCCCTCCCTGCTGGGAAATAAATGACCGTTTGTGGAGCTTGTGCATGGCGTGGGAGAGCTGATCACGGGTGTGCTCTGTTCTGCCCTAACACTCCTAACCCGCCGTGCTTGCATAATGTCTGCAAAAGGAAATTTCAGACGGTACATGGTTAACCAGAAGGACTTTGGGCAATGATAATTCTGTCTCCAGTTACTGGCCATCCCAGAGGCATAGCTGATCTGTGGACCTTCCTCAACCCAACCCTTACCATAAAGAGAACAGGAGGAGACCTTACCTCAACCAGGAAGTGTCTCTGCCTAAGGTGCCTTCTGATTGGTTAATAAAAGGCTGAATAGCCAGTAGCTACTCAGGAGAGAATGGGCGAGATTACTGGGGAGAGAGAGGAGGGAGGTGGAGATGCCTTCGACATACAACATGGAAGAGGTAAAAAGCCAAGTGTTATAAAGTAGATCAATAAAAGCAGGTTAGGTTAGGTTGTAAGAGCTGGTTGGGAACAAGCCTAAGCTAAAGGCCATGTTTTCATAAGTAATAAGTCTCAGTGCCATTATTTGCAGGCTGGTGGTCCCACAAAGATAAAGTCCCACTATAGTGTGGTATGTACAGATCCCTAAAAATAATCACGGTGGGAAGGCAGCGTGCACCAAACCTACTGCGGGGTGTGACCATGCCTCTCTGACATGCGCATACAGGGCTAAAGTCAGCCCTGTACACACCAAACCTACTGCAGGGTGTGACCACGCCTCTCTGACATGCGCATACAGAGTGGAACTCAGTCCTGTACACATCTCGGGATTGTAAAGATGGCTTCATGAAGGAAAAACTGTAGCTGTAGTGTCTGCATCCAGCTTTCTCTGCTTTCCAGCCCCAGCCACAGGGACTTCTTGCACACCACACCCTCCCTTCTGTGGACTAACACCTCTGAAACCAGGAGCCAAAGAAGAATTTTCCCTTAGAGCTACTTCTGTAGGTGTTTGATCAGAGTGTTAGGAAAACTCACACACTGTGTCGGCTTCTGTCTGGTTTTACACTCTGTGGCTGTACGCTACAATTAAAACTACCTGAGTTACTGCTGTAGAAGCAAAAAGGGAAGCAAGAGAAATAGGAAGGAACATTAATGAGCAGTTTTGAAAAGATATGCTGCCAGTGTTTTTGTAAAGGCGGATGTCATCAAAGTTGCAGGAGCTGGCATCTCACTTCACAAGACGGAGGGTGACATCATAATGGATTAGCAGGGACAGCTGGGTGTAAGTGGCCATGTGAAGGGCTGGAAATCAAAGCCAGGTCCGATGAAAAGTCAGTGCTCTAACCACTGGCCATCTCTCCAGCAAGGAACTGTATTTTATGAGTATTGTAGGAAGCTAAAGAGCAGACAATCAGTTAGATCACTTCTTAATGCTTTTCATTAGCTATAGTTAAAATAAATAAATACATAAATAGATTGTCATTAAAAAGTATTGATTTTTGTATCCTGGCATCCTGACATTACATTTTTCATATATATGTTCTGAATCTTAAAGTTTTAGTCTTTGTTTACCTTGAGTTCATAGCATATAAACACCCAAATAAAAAAATTTGGAAAGGGAACTAAAAACAAAACATCTTTGAACAGCAATAATAGTAATAATAAAAGAAAAAATAGGTTACAGGGGAGAAAATATTATGTTGGGTGGTGATGGCACACACCTTTAATTCCAGCAAGATCTACAGAACTTGCTCTGTAGATCTCCCAGAGGCAGGCAGATCTCTGCGAGCTTGAGGCCAGCCTGTTCTACAAAACTACACAAAGAAACCCTGTCTCGAAAAACCAATCCCCCCAAAAAAGACATAAAGAACCCTATCAGTCTAAAGTTGGGGAAATAGCTTAATTGGCAAAACACTTGCCCCACCAGCATGAGGACCTGTTCAATCCCCAGTGCCCACATAAAAAGATAAACTGTGGTGGCAGATGCTTGTAATCCCAGTTCTTGGGGGGCTACAGGTCAGTCCTGGGACATGCTGGTCAGTCAGCCTAGCTGAATTAGTAAGCCTAGGACCTAGTGAGAGACCCTGCCTCACGAAACGAAGCAGACAGCCCCCAAGGAATGACACTAGACACTGAAGACATGTCTTATATACTCACGTGCACGATGCACATGGACACACTCCATCCTTTTGCCACACATGCACGCCAACACAAGGACCCCTCTTACACGCCCACAGAGAAACTACTTCGTATGCTTACCAACTAGTCAAACCATTTGATTTACATGAGAATGTAGAAAGGCCAATCACAGGCTGCTGTGGACTAGATCTGTGGGACAAAAATAAGTGGCACTTGTAACAGGGCATGTAGCTTGAGATGAGGGATTTAGCATACGAGCATTCTGCCTGAAAGCATTTATCAGTTCCACAAACGGATCATCTTAAGAAAATCTCGAAGAACATCCCAATATCTTAAACCACCTGTCATCATTTTTTTCATACCCTATGACTCTTTTTGCCGCAGGACACACACACACACACACACACACACACACACACACACACACACACACACAAAGTTAGATACACAACAGGGACACAAAGTTTTTAGGCTTTTTTTTTTCCCATGCTACACTCTCTTCACGGTGACTCACTTAGTGGCACTAACCCATAGAAGGGATGAGAGAAATTCACCTAGCTCTGGTATTTCTGCTGCTTCCAGCCTTTCTATTATGAACACCAACAACAACATCTGACACACAACCTTGGCCTCTTTGACATCACTTCCTCAGGTTGCCGTTCTAGGAACATTGTTATCTTGTTAAAGGACACGTCCCATGATGCACACTTTTCCCCCAGAGAGCAGTGTAGCTTTCCCAAACACTCTTAGCACACCCTTGAAAGCTAAGGCTAGGGTAATTCTTGGCCCACGGATGATGTGATGTGGTCCCAGTGTTCTACCCAGAATGGGCAACCAGAGATCATCCTGTCAATGGGGAGTTACTTGTATTCAAATCACCATCAACACCCTGGTATGGTCTCTGAAACGGAGCAGATTTTCACCCTTTGTTTAACAGTACCCCAGGACCTGGGGCAGACCTGGGGAGTTGCGTTCTGAGGTTGTTAGGGCCTGCCTTGTGAGTTCTCAATGTGGAGGGGTGCCACTCTCGGGAAAAGGGCAACTTGCTTCAAGCAAAGGTACAAATAGATGTCACATCTGACATTTACAAGAGATGGAATAAAAATTCATTAAGAGAGAGAGAGACACGTGTGGGCTGACAGAGAAATCAAATCAGATTTCCTCCTATGGTCCCCCACTCCTTGAGATAGAACCTGGGCATCAGGACCACAGAATGGAAGCCTGCACTTGAACTGCAGACACCCTGCTTTGTAAGGAGTGTGAGAGTGTAATGTTAGAATCCAGCCTCTGCTGGGTCCTCCTCTCACGCTGATAGGCATCCTAGTGAGTCACTGAGCTAGCCCACTTGCTGCTGCTGCCGCCACTCAAAGGGGTGTCACATTCGGTTCCCCTGCCCATCCCCTGCCTCCTCTCAGAGAGCCAGGCTGTGAACCTTCCTCATCCTCTGAGCAGTGGGCTCTGATTCTCTTCAGGGACCTTGCCATGCTGTCTCCGGTGTTGGGGCCTGAACTCTCCCTGGACCCCAGCCATGCTGTTGCCCCTCTGTCTGCTGTCTGTCCATGCTGTCAATGGCTCTAATAAACTCCTAGTCTCCGGTAAGCCACCTCACTGTCCCTCCCGAACCAACCACCCCACCCAAACCTAACATCCAGTGCTATATGCAGGGAGCTAAAGATTAGTAACAGGGAAAGCAAATGAATAGCATGACTGTCCAACCCACCTCCAACTTCTACTTAGAAACAAAGGCACATTTCCCTCCCAGGGAACCTGTGGACCTGAGGATGTCTTTCACTTGGTTGGCCACCCCAAATAAAGGAGGGAGGCTGAAGGAGCAGGGACATCACATACTGAACAACTGTATTTCTTGAGAAATCAAGTTCAGTCTTGGATTCAGTATCTTAGGCCATTATGTAGAGTTGGTTTTTCTCCTCCAAATGTCTACCACCTCTGCCTCATCACCTGAGAACTGACATTTACCAAACGAAAACGAAATGTCTTCTGTTAGGAATCTCTTCACTGGTTTCACTCTCCCTATTCTAAAGCCCCCTCCTCAGAAAGCCTGCCAAGGGCAGCTCCACCCCAGAGCTCCTCAACACCATGCCTACATTGTATTTAAGCTCTGGTCATTAAACCTGCCGTCACTTCTCTTCTGCTTTCTTCCCCTAAGAAGCACCTGGGAGTTGGTTTGCTCATTAAATCTGTTCCTTTTAGCCGGGCATTGGTGGCACATGCCCTTAATCCCAGCACTCAGGAGGCAGAGGCAGGCAGATCTCTGTGAGTTTGAGGCCAGCCTGGTCTACAGAGCGAGTTCCAGGACAGCCTCCAAAACAATACAGAGAAACTCTGTCTTGAAAAACCAAGAAAAAAAAATCTGGTCCTTTTTCCTTCCTTCCTTCCTTCCTTCCTTCCTTCCTTCCTTCCTTCCTTCCTTCCTTCCTGTTTTTTGGGGGGGTTGGTTTTTCAAGACAAGTTTTTCTTGGTTGTCCTAGAACTTGCTCTGTAGATCAGGCTGGCCTTGAACTCACAGAGATCCACCTGCCTCTGCTGGAATTAAAGACATGTGCCACCACTGCCTGGTTTGGTCTTTAATCCTTAATTTGGTTTGATTTGGATTACTTTGTCAACAGAGAGACTTAATGTTGGGGTGTGGAAACCTTTCATCTTCCTTGCCCTGGGGATGTGGTACACTTTCCTAGCACACTTAGATTAAATCTGACAATGAAAATAAATGTTTTCTGTGTCACTGCTTGCTACCAAGGTGGGCAACGTGCTGCATATCCACTGACAGTTCCGGTCTCCCTCTCAGTAGTCACAGCTACTGCTTTAGTCAGGGTTTCTATCTGTACGATGAAATACCATGACCAAAGCAACTTGAAGAGGAACGGGTGTGTTTAGTTTGCACTTCCGTATCATTGTTCATCGCTGAAGGAGTTCAGGACAGGAAGTCAACCAGGGCAGGAACCTGGAGGCAGGAGCTGATGCAGAGACCACGGAGGGTGCTGCTTACTGGCTTGCTCCTTTGGCCTGCTCAGCCTGCTTCCTCATAGGACTCAGGACCACCTGCCCACGAACAGCACCACCCACAATGGGATGGGCCCTCCTCCGTTGATCACTAATGTAGAAAATGCCCAACAGGCTCACCTACAGCCTGCTCTTACGGAGGCACTTTCTCAGTTGGGGCTCCCTCCTCTGATGCCTTTAGCTTGTGTGACATGGACATGAAGTTAGCCAGCACAACTGATCTCTTTTCAATTTGTCACACAAACAAGTCACCGCTGAAACACGGCCCTTCCCTTCTTGTTCATCCCTGAGATCTCACTTTAAAAAATACAACTTCAAAAATCATGCCGTCTTTAAAAATTCAAACACACTAAAAGCTCAGTCTCTTTAAAGTATCTTTTTTAAGATTCAACGTGTTTTAAAACCCAAAGTCTCTCAACTGTGGGCCTTCTAACTTGAGAGAGAAGAAGCTAGAAAGCTCAGGGCACAGAAAGTCACAATCTTAAAGCAAACCTAAACTCCGAAAGTGTAAACAACTCAACATCCAGTTATCTAGGATTCACTCACCATCTTCCGGGCTCCTCCAAAGGGCTTGGCTTACTTCTCCAGCTCCGCTCTCTGCAGCACACACAGCTCGTCTTCTAGGCCCTGGCTGGCTCCACTCTGCTGCTCTTCCTGGTGGTCGTCCCGTCCCGTGGTGCTGGCATCTCCAAAATGCTAGGGTCCCTTGCTGTGACCGGGATACACTTTCACCAACAGCCAACCTCTCACAGGCTCTCTCTTCATGGTGTCAATCCTCAGCTTCTCTGCACGACCCCTTCAGTCCTGGGTCTTCAACTGCCTCCGAAGCTACATGATAATTCTACTTCCAATTTTTTTTTGGGGGGGGGAGGATCACCATCACACTGATTCCCATGGTGGTCACACCCGTTCACACTGCCACCAGGAGTGAACAAGGACTCCTCTCCCCCCCAGTCTCACCACGTTTTCTGTCGTCATCTGTTTTCTGTCATCCGCTCTGACTGGCATAAGAGGGAAGCTCTCAAGGGCTGTAATCTGAACTTCCCGGGTAACTAAGGATATTGAACATTTTCAAAAAGCATTGGCCACTTGTGTTTCTTCTTTTGAGAATTGTCTGTTCATTTCATTAGCCTGCTTATCGACCACCAGTTTTGTGGTCTTGTTTAATCTTTGCATATATGTCCTAGATATTGCATACATGGCAAAGACTTTTTGTTTCTTATTCAAGAAGCTGTCTGTTCACTGTGCTGGTAGTTTCCACTGATGTGCAGAAATTTTTAATTCCATGCACCCCCATTTGTTGCGCTGTGCTGTTGGTAATCTCCAGAAAGTTCTCACCTGCACCTATAATTTCTAGTGCCTTCCTTATGTTTATCACTTCTTCCTCCCTTTCTTACCTTCCTGCCCGCTTCAATATTTCAAGTTTTAAATAAAGGTTTATTAGTTTTCAAAGGAATGGCCAAATGGACAGCTCCATAGGTGTGCTATTATTATGTTAGTTCAGAATTAATCAACTTGTCAAAGCATTTGTACAACACTTCATGATGTGATGGGATCAGGTTTAGTGGTTGGACAGGGGTTTGGGTTTATTTAGGAGTCACGGAGTAGCTAACGTTTCCCAAATACAGTACCTGGTGTTTTACCAGGCGAACAATCCCCCAAAGCCTGTGAAACAGAAGCTCTGTTCATATCTCAGAGAAGGAAGAGAAGCTGGGCTTGCAGTCTCCTTTCGGCCCCAGGAAACCATGGTCCTAAACCTGCTCCAGAGCGAGCCTGTCACCACTCCACAGTGTCAACCTAAGCAGAGAGCAGGCGCTGCCAGCAGCAGTCTCCAGGGCAGGCAGGGCTCCCCCAGGACTCTTTGATGCAAATGGATGATGAACTGTTTTAAGGAAGACAACGATGAAAGGAAAAAGATCTGCGGGAAAACAAAAATGTCCTTGGTGACCATTAATTCTTGACTTTTCGGAACATCAGGAGTGACTCAAGCGTCCCCAGGGGATAAAGCCTCCTGAACTGATTTCATTGATTGTTGTCATGTGTTCTGCCTTCTGTCTTAATGGCTTCTTTTCCTGTTAGAATAAATATTGCAGCATAAATTTCCAAAGGAAGCTATAAAAGGGAGGTGGGGAGCGGTTTTTGTTCTGAGCTAGGCCCTTGTGCATGATTTGGGCATGGGGAAGGTGTGTGTGTGTGTGTGTGTGTGTGTGTGTGTGTGTGTGTGTGTGTGTGTGTGTGAGAGAGAGAGAGAGAGAGAGAGAGAGAGAGGATGTGTGTGTAGAGGGTCATTTCTTCTGCTCCTTGGCTGCCTGCATTTGAAATTCTCCTTCTGTGGCAGTTTTAGAGCTTTCCAGTCAGACTGAGCTTCCAGAATGGGCAGGGGAGATTTTTGAAGAAGCAAATCCCGGTCCAGGGCTGAGAGCATGACTCGGGAGTAGAGTGTGCACTTAGCATGTGTGAAGCCCTGTGTCGGACCCAAAACTAAAAAGAAAAACCTCTCCGCCTCTCTGTCATTAATCAAAGAGGAATTGGGGGCATCCCGGCTGGAAAGTCGTCAGCACAGGGCCTTCAGCCTGCAGAGACATCGGGCTGGGGGTGACCGGGCGTGGCATGGATAGTGAGCTGGGAGACTTGCAGGGAGCGGGCCTGCTTAGTCCAGGCCAAGCGAGGGAAAGTGATCAGTGAGCGAGTTGGTGTTTGTGGAGTTACTGAAATCTGTGGTCGGCACAGACAGGAGGGAACTGGCCTCAGGAAGTGTTTCTGAGCCAGAAGCAGAGGGCTATGCTGAGCCCAAAGGCTGGGCTGGCTGTGATGACGAAGGGGGCGCTAGAGACAACCGGCTTCCACAGGATGGAGGTGAAGGGCTGACATCGAATGTGGGCCCTACACCCATTCGCCCCTCAGGAGATTGTATTTCTGGTGGTGATTCCCGGAGCCTTCCTGCTGCTGTTCCCCTGGGGGTCAGTGTTATGCCTGGTGCTGCGTGGGAGCTGCATGGGTGCTGGGTGGGAGCTGGGTGGGTTTGATAGGGTGCAGGTGTAAATGCTCACCCAAATTTGTGGTTCATCACTAGCTGTTAGACAATTATTCACCTTCTACCACGGAGACTGTGGGTCAGGCAGCAAATACCTCCCGATGCCTGCTGCATGCCCAGGCCTGGGGTAAAGCCTCAGGGGCACAGTTCACGGCCCAGGGCCAGGAAGGGCTTACCATCTAAAGGCAAATGATTATGAAATACCAAGAACACATCAAAAACTAACCTGACAGGCATTACCTAATAATAATATTTCTCTCCTACTTGAAGTCAGTCTCTTAAAGACATTTCTTTCCAAATCACAGCCCTGTCAGCCCAAGCCCCCTGTCTCCACCCCCTGGCAGGAGCTTTCCCTGACAGCTGTGAGTTGGGTTCCGCCCCTGACAATCAGCCTGCCTTTCAAACAGTCAAGGCTCCCTTTCCTCTGGCAGGTTAGAAATAGCTGTGGTGCCCACACCTGGCCTCCCCTCACCGTGCCTGCCTCAGAGTCCTCCCACCCTTGGGTGGAGGGGACCCTCTGGTGGGTCCCAGTCCCTGGGGATGGTGCAAACAGTCCCACAGCTTCCTGGGAGCTACCCAGTGAGGACATGTGGACACCACATCACAGGGAGGAGGGGGGGAGGAGGAGGGGGGAGGAGGAGGGGGGAGGAGGAGGGGGGAGGAGGGGAGAAGGGGGAGGAGGAGGGCTCTGTGTGTTGGTTTCCCACGGCCCAGGAGCTAGGGTGCCCTTCCAGAGCATGCTGTGGTCTCAGCCCAGGGGGATGGCACAAGCCTGGGTCACTCGCTGGTGGACATCTCTCTCTATCACACCCCACAGCTGTCTGTCTTCCGAGTACCGCCATCCTATGTGTTAATCTCCCCTTCCTCCTGAACTCCATCTCAGTCCATTGCTGCCCCCACCTCTGCCTTCCATGAGCCTGAGCACGTGATCATTCCCAGTTCCCTCTCTGCAGACACTCATTCCCTTGGGCCTGAGGGGAGGCAGGCCAGGCTGTCCACACTGCTATTGGGGTTACCTCTCCTGGGTGCCCCCACGGGTGTCCTCAATTTTCTATAAACAACTTTAAGCTCTCCCTCCCTTCCTACTACCAAAGATGAACCTTCACAACTTGTTCCAATGCAAGATTCAAACCTATACTCAAGGGAAACCATGTGCAGATACACACAATGAAGCCATATTGAGGGCACCAAAGGCTTGGCTTGAGGGATGCTGTGTGGCCCTGTGATAGGCTGACTATGTGTGTCCTCTGACTCAAAGTTAAATATTGAAATCCTGTCCTTCAAGGAGGCTCTCACAAATGGCATTTTTGAGGGAAGATTCGTTTATTAACTATAAATTCTATTACCAGTCTCTGGCCTGTCCTTTTCCAAGCTGCTCTTTCCCTCCGTTTGTCTTATATACCAGGATCACAGACAGACCTGTTGCACAAACTTGGCAAACAGCAAATGGAGATTATCCTCTTCAGTGTCACAGACCTGGAGAGGTACACATTTTATGAAGCAAATGGAGACCGTTTCCCCAGCAGGGACAGCTTCCCAAGAGAGACAGAATGCCCCCAGAGATGTAGCCACTAACTCACTTTCATCGGTAGGGCTCTGCGCCTCCCTTACCACCAAGAAAGAAGTACTTACAGAGAGGCTTATTTGGATTTTGGAGGCAGAATATCTCTCACAGGTGTACTTCTCTGGCTCATATGCTAAGTGGCTTGAAAATCTTCTAGTTTTGAGTATCTAGTATCTTTCTAGATAGGAGAAGGCTCTGCAATAGGTCCAGGCCGATATACAGGCTGCTCTTTCCAACTGGGACATATGACCTACAGACCCAGTGGCATTTGAAGTATCAGTGGCAGATAGTGTCGTGTAGGGACCAGAGGAAGTCCTGAGTGAGTGCCGTCCTGGCTGAATGTGTATTGTTGACATGGGCATAGCCATGTCAGGGACAAAAGCCTCATCCCTATGTGAGTGACTCAGAGGGATGGCAAAGCCTTCTTAGGGGGTCCAAGTTACAGGACCCCAATGTTTTCCAATCACTGTCCCATGTTAACTGCAGATACCCTTCAAGGATGAGACTTAAACTTGCATTGTAAGTTAACTAAGTGATGAGTCTTGGTTTTTGACAATTTTAGACCCATAGCTGGAGCTGGAAGATTATATCTCTGGGCTCATTCTTTTCCTTTGTTATTTTATCTAGCAATGCTAGCGCCATCCAGCCAACATCCTTGTATTTCTTAGCTTTCCAGAAATATCTAAAAGCTTTTTATATAGAATCATTAAATCCCTTGTCTGTCACAAGTGGTGAATCAGAAGTCGCAACTCATTTATCTTATATAATTCATTAAAGAGTTCACCCCGCAGACAATGCTTCCTCTATTACCAAGAGAAACTTTTGCAACCATAGGCATAGCCAAATTAGAGCCGGCTCCAAGAAGCCTACTGGGTCTGATAGAAAGATTTATCCTTACAATTCTATTCCTTAAGGACCACTCTTGGTAGCAAAACAATCTATATTAGTCAAAGTTCTTCAGTGGGAGCAGAGTCAATAGTGTGTGTGTGTGTGTGTGTGTGTGTGTGTGCATGCACTCATGTGTTAGATTAGTTTACACAGTGCAGGCTGGGTCGTCTAACAAAGGCTGTTTTTACATCAGAAAGGCAAAGAAGCTGGTAACTGCCTCGATTGTCCCAGTCTGGTGCAGCAGGCCCAGAAGATCAGTCCATGGTGGCAAGCCAAAGAAGCTGGGATAGGATGTCCGGGTGTCAACAGAGGACAGCAGCAATGATGGACA